TGCCCCCCCCCCCCGCCCCCAAATATTGTCTTACTTGGGGCAAGAAAGCTTGAAACACAAGCCTGAATTAAATTTGATAAACAAAAAAACTTCAAACAGTACAGTTTAAAAAGAAAAGATTCTTGGGGACCTTGGGTGGCTCAGTCGGTTAAGCATCTGACTCCGGGGTTCCTCTCGGGTCATGATCCCTGTGTTTGTGAGTTGGAGCCCCACATTGGGCTCCTCGCTGACAGCGCAGAGCCTGCTTGGGATTCTCTCTCTCCCTCTCTGCCCCTCTCCTGCTCGCTGTGTGTCGCTCTCTCTCAAAATGAATAAACTTAAAAAAAATTTTTTTAATAAAATAAAAAATAAAAATAAAAGATTCTCTCTTCCTTCTATCCACTATTTTAATTTCTTGTGTAATCGTTCAGAATATTATATCATACCTATCATCATACCTATGTGCAACTTTTTTAAAGTTTATGAAAACAGGATAGTTTTGTTTACACTGTTGGGCATCCTGCCTTTTCCCACCACTTAATAATGTATCTTGTGAATCTTCCAATTCCAGCATATGTAGATCTATCATTCTAAGACATACCGTAAAGTGAAAAATCACATACACACCTACAATCCTTCACTCATAGAAGAAGTAAGGAATAAAACCCAGATATGTAATTACCTCTGGGCACAGGAATGGGATGGGGACACGGCAACTTAAGTGCCAATCCATATGAATTGTTTAAATTTAATACGTTGGCAAGTAAAAAGCAAACAAAACGTCAACTTGGGTTGGACTGTTCACAGATTAGAAAATTTCTGGGCCAAGGAATTACATCCACCACCTTGGCAGAGAGCCACTCTGACATCCGGGTTCCCTGCCCAGGCTTGGTAGGTATGGGGTGCAGGGCTATGTTTTCATTCACAGGGAGGGGAAGATCCATACAAAGTCACCCAGAGGCACCTCCTCCTCCACACCACGCTGCCCACCCCCGTGACTCCAGACCCCACCTGCTCCACTTCACCTCACATACACAGAGGCTGGAAAACCTAGGAATCGTATCGTCCACCATCCATAAGTAGGGCCTTTGGTTTCACAGCCACCCCGACACAACTTGAGCTGGAGGATTTGTCAGAATTATCTCCCTTGGATTCCCTGGAGTGTTGTTTACACAGTGGACCCTCTGACCTGTGAACTCATGGGAGATCAGGCTGAACTGGAGGACAAAAGTCTAATGCTTGAGAGGGAGGCACTTCTAGACCCTAGGCTGATCTGGGCAATGTTGGCCATATTCTTCAAAGAATATAAATAACCTATCAGAGAGGCTTGTTCAGGGGTTTGATTTCATTCCTGGAAAATGGTAGCCATCCCAGCACTAGTTGAGAGTATTTCCGGGGGGTTTTGGCCAGAATCACAATGTTTGGCAAATAGTCCTGATGTCTACGGCAGATGATGGGGATTCAGGGGCATCCTTTGGTTCAGTGATTCAGAATTCTGTTTGGTAACGAAGCTGCTTCAAAGAGAGCTTTCCTACTATGCAGATTGTGAAACGGCTTGTACTTGGGGGCTCCAGGCCTCGAAATAATACTTCAACTTTTTCTTTGAAACAAGTTTGGTGGTAGTTCAGAATTTAGTAAGAACAGAAAAAAGGTATAAGAAAATACTGTTTAAATACCTAATGCGAAATATTTAAGATGTGCTATCACTTGAAACACAGAATGTGGTCTTATAAAGTTATTGATTAAAAGTGTAAAGTTTACCAGATCTGTAACATCTTTATACTCCGGCCATTCAAATTAGCATGGAAAGTTGTCTTCTGAATGAAAAAACTAAGAATGGACCATCAACAAATGGCCAATTTAAACTGTAAAAGATGGTGTGCCCCTGAAATGGACACAATTAGATGCTCAGTTAATTTCTGTCTACCAAAGAAAGGAGGACCAGAAGTGAACATAGAACGGGAGGGATCTCATTTGTCTCTGCTTCAATGATCTGGCTGTGTTCTTCTTCCTTCATTTCCTTTGTGGGCAATTGTGCAACAAAAATGCCTCCATTATCAGTTTCAAAATTGAATCCTATGATACTGTAGCCTGAGGAAAAGGAAGCATTGAATATCATTCCTAGTTTTAGACCCAGAAGATATTTAGGAAATGTTACTGTATATACACCACATGCAACATTAGTGCTTTTAATTTCTTTTTTACGGGTGCAATGGAGATTAATTTGCATGGGCTCGTTTCAATTTCTGTAATAAGATCCAAATTTTGCATTAAGCTTTCCATCTCAAAAACAAACAGTTAAAAAGGACACATTTCTCCTTTCAAATGTTTTTATTATAGTTCTATTTTACAGTCCCTGCATCTGATATTCACTTAAAAGCTTGAATATATACCCATAGGTTCTAATTTGTTTTTTGTTTGTTTCCTGATTACCTCCTGTTTGTACCAGGAAACTTGCGTAGTTTCAAACACTGTACAACTTGACAAAGCACTAGAACTACCAAAAGAGTGTCTACGGATCCAGGGAAGGCATTTATTGTATTTAATACAAAGTCAGAACTGGTCAGCTATGCTCAGGAACAGTGTGTTCCATGAGAAGAGACACTTGTTAATCCTGAGTATGAACTGGTGATGGAATTTGGGATTTCAGAGAAGTATAAAGTCTACTGAAACACAGAAGACTTTCCATGCCACACGGTGCCATTGTTATTCAACACTGAACCAGATTGCGGAATTATGATATTTGTGTTCTTTTCAAAAGCCCATGCTCACACAGGCTACTTTCTGCTTGCAACAGAGCTGCACGATGGGGAGATCAGACTGCCGGGCACAGAAAGGCAATATCAGTCCCCTGACATGTGCGATGTGAAGTTCTCAGTATCACCTATGAGGTAAATGAAAGGATTTGATGTAAATCCATCAAGCCTTTAGAACCAACTTTTCTTTCTCCAGGGATCGAGCCTCAGAGATAGAGATCTCAAGGAAGCAATCAGACAAATCTAGGAGGGGAGATGTTCTGCAGAACGGTTCTCATGGTTTCTGGAACAAGTCAGTGCCGTTGAAAATAAAAAAGAAAAGAAGAGAACAATAGAGAAAGTACGGGTGGGGGCTGTGGCAATGCAAAGAGACTTCAGGGCTATGACAACCAGATACAATGCATGACTAGTTAGAGAACTGTCTAAGTTCTCTGGTTAGAGAACTAGTTGGTTAAAGAACAGTACTTACTATGTGATTTCATTTTGATAAAACGTATGTGTGTGTATGTAACTGTATACACATAGAAAAGGATCTGGGGGGGTGTATGGATATACACTAAGGTTCACCTTTGGTTAACGCCATAGTGTCTCTGGGTTGTGGGAATGTGGTGTTTTTATTTTATTTATTCTCTTCATTACCTCTCGTTTCTTTACGCTTGATTTATGATTATGGAAGTAATCATGCAACATTAGAACTGCCAATTGATACTACTGAGAATATTGAAAATATAAAAACTGTCAGGAATTCTTAAATCTAATAAATTCTAAGACTTGGGGTATCTTTAAACCTAAAATGATGGGGAAAATCTAGACTATAAGTAAACTACTATTTGTAATGTTAAGACAACTGGAAAGTGAAGGAAAAGTTGAATAATACTTAAAACATATACCCATAGCATTGTTCAAGAGATTAAAAACTTTAAATATAAAAAGATAAAGGAAGCGCAACCAGCGAGCTTTCCTGATTTGGGCAAGGGGTCTGGCCAGGTGAATTCCGGGAGATCTGACTAGGATCTAATTGGATCCAATCCAATCAAAGGAGCTATAATCAATGCTGCCATTTTAAGTTAAGACTATTAAGTGATTAGTTTTAGTTGTAATAGTAGTAATAATAAAGTGCAGGGGCACCTCAATGGATCAGTTTCTTAAGTGTTGGACTCTTGATATCAGCTCAGGTCATGAGCCCAGGGTTATGGGATGGAGACTCACATCAGGCTTTGGCACTAAGCATGGAGCCTGCTTACATTCTCTCTCTCTCTCTCTCTCTCTCTCTCTCTCTCTCTCTCTCTCCTTTTGCCCCTGTCCCCTGCACTCTCTCTCTCAAATAAATAAATTAAATAAAAATAAATAAAAACTAAATAAATAAAATGTAGTCCTTCTAAGATAAGGGTAAGTGCCCTCAAGGATAATTGGGGGAAGTTGGGCTTAGGCTCATCTGACTCAGGCTTTACTGCCAATGTTCAGGTGGTCAGAGCAAATGGCTATTCATTCATTCATTCATTCATTCATTCAAGAATGTATTCGATGCCTGTGTCCTACACCACTTTGGGGGACAAGCCAGATGTAGGAACTATTACCGCCCTCACGGGGCTAAACTGTGTGACTTTGAACTAATCCCTTTCTCTCTCTAGGCCTCAATTCCTCCACCTACTCAGAGGTGTGTGTTCACCCAGGACCTAAACTACTTTGATTCAGGTTCCAGCTTCACCTCTTTCCATTATGTGACCACATGCAAGTTAATTTGATCTGTCTAAACCTCAGTACTCTCATTCATAAAATGGGGGCAGTATTACCCGTTTTGTTGGGTTAAGCTGAGGTTAGAAAAGGTCGTCAACAGCAGGCGCAGGGCACTAGGGACCAGACCAGAGCTGGGCAGGGGGCCCAGGGACCCCCTACAGGAGTCAATTTCCTGGGGTAAAGGTCCACAGCCCACACAGACAGCGTGGGTGGGTCTTTCTAGGGCCAGGGTCAGGGTCCGGGGCTGGGCTGGCCACTGCGCTGGCTCCGCACGCCGAGGACCAGAAGCCGGGCTGCCGGGCACGCCCAGGCTGCAGGCCCAGCTCTCCAGGGCACGCTGGTCCGGGCCAGGTCCACATGGGGCCAGAGGTGGCACATGAGCCCCGCCCGAGCAAGGGCAGTGAGGTCGGGGCACCCCGTGGTGCAGGAGCTGCAGGCGAGCCAGCCACAGGCCCTGACCTGAAGAAGCTGCAACAAGATTTGAAGGGACTCTCTGCCTGGCTCCACTCAGTAGCTGTGCTCCCCGAGACCAGGGTGGCGGGACAGTCAGTCGCCTGCACAAATACCAGCAATCCAGTGACCTGGCCAGGGACGTGGCCCAGGGGCAGAGGCTGGCTCCCATGGATCAAACACTGAGCCTGCTTTGGAGAAGAGGATTCCCCAAAGCATCCTGGAACCACTCCTTAGGAGGCCGGAACCGAGGGAGACCAGCCACAACCCTGCAAAAGCCTCCAGCGGCCGATCAGACGGCCCTGAGCACAGACAGAAAAACCACAGAAAAGCCTCCGAGCTCAAGAGGCCTCACCCGGTGTCCCACAGTCGTGAGAGGAGACGGGAAGAGCCACAGCGTTGCTCCAATTTAGCCCTGAGAACAGGAATCTTCTGGTTACACGCTGTCCCGTCCACTGTCTGCGGGTCCTCAGCAGTTGCCCGGAACCAGCACAGATCCCTGTTGGAGGCCCACGCTGCAGTGGCCTTCTCCAGGCAACTCTGGTGCCTCTCAGGACAGACGGGGATACAGCCAAGAATGCCACCTGGGTGGCCCCAAGGGAAAGGGGCTGTGAGTCAAAGCAAGGGGCACCAGTCTTTCCAAAGGGACAAAGTCCTGGTGGGTGCCAAAGGACATGAGAAGTCCTCTGCTTTGCTCGGCCAGAAATCACGCCAGGCCTTCTCCAGGGAGGAAAGCCCAAGGCCTCTCTCCCCAGACAACACAAGGAAGAAACGCCCTCTGTAGGGCTGTCCAGAAAGAAGGAAAGAGGGCCACTGCCTTCACAAGTGTTCACTCCGTCGCGGTTGCTTCAGACTGCACCGCCTTAAAATGCAAGAGCTCAAGGCTCAGAGAAAACCAAATCAGACAAAAACAAGCAAAGTCTAGACAGCTTAGACTTGGAAAGTGGGCAGGAGGCCTGTTGCCCAAGGCAAAAGAGAAGGTTCTAACAACCCAAGGATTCAGGAAGGGAAAATAAAAACTTTTAATTTGGATAGAAAGCCAATGGGCTCCCTCCCTGAAGTTGAGGAGGCAGATCTGGATGATGAATTGCAGCCACCCACTGTGTCTTTTGAGTCCTGCTTCAACTATGACCGCCCCCCCCCCGCCCCCCGGGGCAGGGGGTGGGAAGACTGAAAACTTCAGCTACTGCATTCTGAGAAAAAGGACTTCAGAATGACTCTAAAAGCACTAGTGAAAACTTGGACTCGGTTCAGAAATGACCTCAGGTGAACAAAAAAGCAAGTCAGGGAAGGCACAGCCGTCTGGAGCCCATCGGGCCAGGCGGAAAGAGGTCCCCGCTGACTCACTACCAGTGTTGACAGACCTCCCATTACCCAGGGCACAGGCCCCTTACGGCCTCTCCTGTCTTTGCATTGCTGTGCTCCTTCCTACCAAAGCAAGAATCGCTGTCTTCATCCCAGGAAGAGGAAGAAGCTGGATTTACCGGACGCAGAATGAATTCAAAGATGCAGGTGTTTTGTGGTCCCAAGTGTGCCCAGCTCCACAAAATGATGACCTGGTGCAACCAGTGCATCCGGATACTTAAAAACAACATCGATCTTTGAAGTGGGAGGAGCCACGCATTCCGTTCCTGAACCCATTTTGGAGATTTTATGCCGATCAGCTATATCGCATACAGAAATACAGTCGTGTGCTAGTTGAAGAAATCGATAAATTATGGAAAACTCATTGACACCAATGAGAAGATCCAGAAGAGCGTGAGGCGTGGTGGGCGATGTTCGTGCAGCTTCGGGAGGCCCGAGGGCGGCGGCTGTGAGGGCTGACAATGAACGTGGGGTCTGCACGGGCCAATAAGCCCTAGGGCTGACCAGCAAAGCTGGTCCTTTTCAAGTCGGTGGCCCAGCGCCCTACTGATGTTCTAAGGAGCGGGGAGACGTTTGCACGGAGGAGCCGCTGATCAAGCTAGCACCACACCATGCCCTCGGCGGCGGTGACGGAGGGACAGCTTTAACCTATTATCAGAGAAGCCGAGCTCCCGCAGTGCCCACTGTGCCGTGGAAACCCGCCAGGAAAAGTGCCCAGATGACGGCGAAGCCAGTGTTAGACTTCAAGAACACATTCTCCCCACATAAGCTGAGACTTACCTTGGACACGGAATTTGGGGTGGGGGAGACAAGGGCGGCGGGGGTTCCGAGATGGCACTTCCCCAGGAGACCAGAGGCTCTTGCTTTGCGGAAACTTCGGGAGGCTCCCTCCTGTAGTTTGCAAATGTTGCACCTGAGAATCTATGTGCCACAGCCACTGCCTCCCCGCCTGGAGAATACTCCAGAATTCCCAAGACGTGAAGCCTCAGGTTTACTGAGGATTTAAAAACATTTTTTTTCAACGTTTATTTATTTTTGGGACAGAGAGAGACAGAGCATGAACGGGGGAGGGGCAGAGAGAGAGGGAGACACAGAATCGGAAACAGGCTCCAGGCTCCGAGCCATCAGCCCAGAGCCTGACGCGGGGCTCGAACTCACGGACCGCGAGATCGTGACCTGGCTGAAGTCGGACGCTTAACCGACTGCGCCACCCAGGCGCCCCAGGTTTACTGAGGATTTAAAAAAAAAAAAAAAAATTTTTTTTTTAATGTTTTTATTTATTTTTGACGGAGAGAGAACATGAACGGGGGAGGAGCAGAGAGAGAGGGAGACACAGAATTCGAAGCTGGCTCCAGGCTCTGAGCTGTCAGCACAGAGCCTGATGCGGGGCTCGAACCCACAAACTGTGACATCATGACTTGAGCCGAAGCCAGACGCTCAACCGACTGAGCCACCCAGGCGCCCCTTTACTGAGGACTTTAAGATCAATTAGAGTTTTGTCAAGTAGCCCCTCTGTAAACAATAAGACATTGTTTTAATTAATAAGTAGTATTCTCAGATTGTTCATACATACATACATAAAACTACTTGGCATGGAATTATTTTTTTTAATCTCAGAGTAAATAAGGCTTTCTTGGACACAAACCCAGAAACCATTAATTAAAAAGACTGATAAATTTAACT